CTCCCTAACAATAGTATGAACCTTTGGGGGAACATTATTAAGTGAAATAAGTTGCCTATGCATATTGAGGATTAGGAGCAAAGAAATCCAGTCTTCTGAGTAGGATTTACTTTAATGTTGCTTTCCTACATGGTCCTTAGGACTAGGAAAATTAATCCTATGAAGATTTGAAATATAACAAGAAACATGGATTGTTGCTCAAGTCGCATTATGGTTCCACATTCGGCTGAACTAAATAATTCTGTCAATGGATGCAGAATTTGCTAGATGTCTTTTCTGCTATCTGTAGATATTTATATTTATTTATTGTTGTTATTTTGAAACTTGGTTTAATCTGTGCTTATTGTTTCCTATGGACAAATTAAAAAGAAAAAAAGAAAAAGCAGAAAAGATCTTCTAATTGGTGACTTTGTTCTATTCACAGATATCTTTTTCCCTTCCACCTCCCTCTGCATGGTTGGCTTCTTCGTCATTGCAGTACTTATCATCAATGTCATAATTTTCACCTATTTGAAACTAAACCGTAAGTTTTCCCATTGTTCCCAAACATGAACATGAAGACACACACACACAGAGAGAGAGAGAGAGAGAGAGAGAGAGAGAGAGAGAGAGAGAGTGAGAGAGACATTAAATGGGTATGGGATATCTTTATCATCATGATTCTGGATCTGGAGAGCGAGAAAGAGATGGATTGGATGTGCATTAAGGTATATAAATAACCACAAGTAGAACAAGAAAATTCAGAATATGAAGTTAATCTATATCTAGGTTTATGCCCACTTCCCTACTTTCTATAGGGGCTGGTTAACATGTCTGGTGTATAACGGAAATTTTACTATTATTGTTGTTGTAGTAGTTATTATTACAATTGTATCCCATCTCTATTCCAAGAAGTTTATAGTAGCATACATGAATGAATCTTTATTTGTGTCAACCATCGGCCATAACAATAAAACAACAATACGATATACAAAGAATAAAAATTAAAAAGTCAATTATATAAAATACATTTTAGGGTTTTGAATCAATAGTCAAATAGTGGATCTTATTCTAATTGCCCCGGGTAAAACCTTGCAAGCTTTGCTGTCACCAGCTCATCTTGATCAGGTGCCAAGAGAAAGGGCACTGTGGCAGTGGCTGGGCAACCCGGAATGGACAATAAAAGAGGGGTGATAACCTCATTCCTCAAGTCTTTAGAAATAGTGCAGGCCAGAAGGGCATGTGCCAATGATTATGGATATGCCGTCGCATACATAAATTAAAGAGAACAGTGACTGGTCCAAGGCCACCCAGTGAGCTTCATGGCTGAGTCAGGATTTGAACTCTTGTCTCTGGGGGCCTAATCTGACACCACCATACCCAGGGCCGCTGTGCCCATGAGGCAATGTAAGATGGCCACCTCAAGCAGCAGGAGCCACAGCAGTGGTGGAGCTGGCCTCCAATGAAGGCATCGCCCACTGCTGCCACCGCATTGCTAGCAGCCTGGTGGTGGTGCTGGAGGGAAAGCGAGTAAAGACTTTGAGTGAAAAGGCAAACAGGAAGGAAGCATTTGGGCTTTGCAGCTGTGCAGCAGCAGCCTGGAGACATTGGAGAGGGAAGCCCTCCAGCCCCCTCTCCCCATAACCCACTTCATCACAGCACTTCAGACCTTAACTCAGGCAGGCCACCATAATGCTGGTGTACTTGCAGGTGGTGGCAGTGGGCGGCCACAACACTGAGATGTGGTATGGTACATTTTGCCTCAGGCAAATCCTCTTGGCCCAGACCATTCCATACTGGCTCTATCATAGAAGTGTGCACCTAAAACCTCAAGAATGGCATGTAAGGTAAAAAAAAAAAAAGGTAAAGGACCCCTGGATGGTTAAGTCCAGTCAAAGGCAACTATGGGGTTGCGGCCCTTATCTCGCTTTTCAGGCTGAGGGGAGCTGGCCTTTGTCCACAGACAGATTTCTGGGTCATGTGGCCAGGATGACTAAACTGCTTCAGGAGCAACAGAACACTGAGACGGAAACCAGAGCACACAGAAATGCCTTTTACCTTCCCGCTACAGTGGTACCTATTTATCTACTTGCATTGGCATGCTTTTGAACTGCTAGGTTGGCAGGAGCTGGGACAGAGCAACGCCAGCTCACCCTGTTGTGGGGATTCGAATTCTGATCAGCAAGCCCAAGAGGCTCAGTGGTTTAGACCATCACATCATAGAGCCAAGGTTGTCTATGGTCTCCTGTTAAGCATGCACCTGCTCAGAACCAAACATTTATTGTTACATAATGCTGAGAGTGGTTTCCCCCATAAACAAAGAACATGCGTATAAAAATAGAAAGTATATTAAAAATCTTGTTCTTTATTTTATTTCAGACGATCGTTGGAAGATTGCTTTTTCAGGTAATCACTGTATCACTTTATGGTATGATTTATGGGATTGCGTTAACTGGGAGAATAAGGGGCTGAGCAAAGTCTGCTGGGTGGGGCAGAGTAAAGCCATTCAAGTCCTAACTAGGGCTGAAAGTTTATACATTGTTTATTTTAAGGTTTGAAGTAATAATAGTTTTATTATTTATTAAACCCCCCCCCCAAAAAAAAAGCTGGCTGGGTTTCCATACATTACATAACAGAGCATAGATATTAGTGTTTTTATTGCATACTCACCCGATAATTAGATATTCTGTGATATGGATTTTAAATGTTTCATAAGTTGATCATCATTTTAAGATTTTGTAAGTCAAATGTTTTGTAAAGTGCACTGAACAAATGTTAATAATACTAATATATCCCTCCCCATGTGCAGAAAATGAAACGTTAGCATTAGAGGAAGGTAAGCATGGATTTTCTACTTGTCCTTATTAAAATTGCATATGAATTACCCTGAATATGTTTACTTCCATGACTGGCACCATTGGGCATCCCCTGGCACTGGAATCCCATGGCATTGCTCCTGCTCTTCCTCATTTGCCTGTCCCCTCTGGTCTGGGACAAGAGTGCGGGGCTGGAGCTACACCCTCCGCTTGACTTGTCCTCTGCATCTGGGGCCAGCACTGTTTATGGCATAGTCCGTTGGCTAGTTTCCAACAGTGAGCTTTAGTATATTGTGCAGGGGAAGAATATATGAGTACAGCCAGTAGATAATATCTATGAACTGAAAGAGAAATGTTTACCTCCCATTCATAATGAAGCGTGCACACTTCCTGTGTATGTGTCTTGGATATCTATCTAGTATCAGTTGCTGGTTTTCTGGAATATAAAACCCAAACCAGAACTGGGAGGTGAGATACTGCCAGTGGGTCAGATCTTTAATTCCCCACTTCCCGAAGGCCAACTTTTGTAGTTGGATGTTACCACTGATGCCCAACAGAATCCCCTTCTCCTTCTTCTTCTTCCTCTTCTTCTTCTTCTTCTTCTTCTTCTTCTTCTTCTTCTTCTTCTTCGATATATGGCATAATCTGGTAAATGCTAGTGGCATTAAAGGTCTTGCTGATTTGAATGTGAATGTTACATCTGAAATGTGGCTTTAAAATCTGATTAAGGATATGCTTTTAGTTTATAGCTTTGAAAAGCCCACTAAAAACATAATGAAATTCAGAGTACAGCTCTCTTCCAAATCACAGTGCATTCATGTGCGTTCCCCCTCATTATCCACAGATGACAATAATATTTCTCTTCTCTCTCTCTCTTTAAGAAAAAGCAAAGCTTCAATGGGAACTAGGTAAGAGTCCCATTCAGTTTCTGCCTGTCATAATGGTACAATACATTGGGGTCATTCATTGTAGATTTCACACAGATATCATTCTGTGTTTGTTCCCAGACACAGTTAGAAATGAAGTTTGCACAACTGCTATGGAGATCCACGTGCCACACTTAAAATTTCACTGTCAATACATTATTATCATCACCATCATCATTATTATATTTGTTTATATCCTGCCTCTTTCCCTGACAGGGACTCGTGGCAGCTTACAGATAAAACAGAAACATCAACTTGTACATTTCACTTGTTACACATTTTTAACAATTTAATAATACTTTGCTCACCATGTGACTAACTCTATCACTCTTTTATTATTCAGAAAAAGTAAAAGAAGAAACAAGAAAAGGTAATTCCATAGCACTAGCAGGGATGTCAACTAGTCGAATTCTTAATAATAATTACCTGTGATAATAATAATTTATCTGTACCTCACCCATCTGACAGGGTTGCTGCAGCCACTCTTCCGTTTACAGCCTGATTCTCTCTCCAGCTGCAGCTGCCATAACTTGAACCTGGCAGCTAGGCAGATGAAGCCCACTGACATTTAATCATAAAATAGAGATTGTATTGAATGGTCTAGTAGATACTAAATATGAAGAGGAAATTCATTGCTGCACCTTCTAGCCAAGGAAATACAGTGGTACCTCTGGATGCGAACGGAGCCCTGTTCACATCCTGAGCAGAACGCAACCAACGTCTGCGCGTGCGCAGGTCACAATTCACTGCTTCTGCGCATGATGTCATTTTGAGCATCTACGCATGCGCAAGTGGCAAAACCCGGAAGTAACCCATTCTGTTACTTCTGGGTTGCCGCGGAACACAGCCTGAAAATGCTCAGCCTGAAGCTACTTTAACCCGAGGTATGACAGTACTACTTTAGAAGTTGGTGTATTTATAATAATTTTTAAACAGCTTAATATTTTTAAAATCTCTAAGGTCCTAGTCCTCAGAATGTAGTGCAAAATGTTTTGATATCCGCAAATCAAATCTGATCTAAAAACAGTATATATAATTAGATAATGATACCTGCCTTAAATTTTAGGATGGATGGATGGATGGATGGATGGATGGATAGATAGTTCTGATTGTTTCTGGGTACTGTATAGAAAAACTAAACTAAATAAAGCTAAGCTAATCTTAAACATTCTAAAAGGCAAATTGAAAAGCCCTACCTTGCTTGTATTCATAAAATATTAATCCTTTTTATTTTGTTCATTTGCAGAATTCAGGAAAGTGCAAGAAAAATTCGGTAAGGATGATTTTCAGTAATATTCAGTAACATGTGACTGAGTGGATGTACGGTGCAACACTCATATATGTTTTGTGTTCACCCAGAGGCTGTTTTCACACATGAGGTTTAAATTGTCTTTGTTTCCTATTCCTCCCCCCCCCCACTGCACTCACAAGTCATAGAATGCACCTGCCAGGGCAAACAACTAGTAGTGTCACTGACAAGAAAGTGGATATCTTGTTAAGGTACTTTTTGCCCTCAGATAGGCCCTGGAAGAAACATTATTTTCTCTGCCAAGTTAATCCAGGAAGCATATAGCTTGCTGCTTGACTAAGAGGTTATAAGGCATTCCAGAGTCAGGATGCAAAAGCCACCCTCAAAGTGTGCCCCCCTTTAATTTGCACTTTAGGTCTTTTTATTTATTGAAGTTATGCATTGATCTGAGGTCTATAGCTATACTTATTACCTACACTTAAGACCTAAACTCAGGCTACATTCAGCTTCAACTGAAGAAGAATTGAGCAAAAACCTTGCACTTCTTTATTTCTCCATGCTTAGTTTTAAAGCCATTTCATCTGATAGCTTGAAACACTCACATTATCTATGTTTTGTCAGAAGACATTTGTGAAACAGTTGCTGATTGAATATTATCTTCATTTACAGCAAAAGCCAAGCAAGAACTAGGTGAGTTGGATCAAAACATGTTTTGATTCTTCCATTCTTCAAATGTAAACTGTTGCACCATTGCAAATCTCACGATTACCTATTGTTTTACATTGCAGAGTTCAGGAGGGCATTGTCCTGTGCAGGTATGATCATTTGTGAATATAGAACACCTTTAGCAGTTGTCAGTCTATATTCTCAGGGCCAAATGAGAGAATATAGTATATTAAAGGCTTCCTTGAATTTAGTGTGCCCATTTTAAAAAATACAAATAGTGGTGTTGGTAATGATAATTATCAGTATCTCAGAAGACTAATAAATTATTTCAGGCGGGTGGGGAGTTTAACTCTCTTCCCTTGATCTTGATTCCTGACAAAAATCACACCCCCAAAGCTGCTATCTGCATATTCGTTGCTGTGAATGTTGGCACCAACGAGACCCTTCTTCCCAATGCAAGCAGCATCAATGGAGGAGCAATCTTCATCTGGAACACAGCAAAATCAAAAAGGGTTAAACTTCCCTTATTCATCTGTTGTGATTCTGATAACTATAAACTCCCCACAACAATTGCAATCTATTGCAACAACTATTTTGGTCTTCACTCCAATCTAGAACTACATAAGAATCCCTTTATACTGTGCTTTTTTTCTTTAAAAATGTTTAGGGGTGCTCTCATTTTGACTCAAGAAAATCACAATTTTATAGTTCAAATTGGGAAAAATAAATACAGTGAAAAGTACAAAAGTACAAAGATTAATAAAATGTTTAGGGGTATGCGTACCCCTGTGTCCCCCCAGAAAAAGCACTTTCTTTATATATATAATTTTTATTAAATTTTCTGTTTTACAATTTAGAATACTCATTTAAGCATCCTTAAAATATCAATGACTTCCCTACTTCTCTTTCCATAGTTCATTTCACATATCATAAATCCCTGCATATTTTACATAAACTAAACCATTCAGTATCCCATTATTACATCCATCAAAACTTATTTACACTTTATTTTAATGTTGTCAACGTTTTCAGGTGTACACTAGAACTACATAAGAATTCCATTTACATCAGTTGAGGGGGCAATCAATGTGCCAAGTTAGAAAGTCCTTGTATTTAGGGACACTCCAGATGTCCTTTCCCCATATAGCGAATAGCTAGATTAGAGCATTGATTTCAAAAGCTGATGCTGGGTTCAACATTATCATTTTAAAAGTATGTTTCTGTCTATATTACACTGAAGTCAACAACTGCATAAACACAAGAATGCATTAAATTAGACTTCATATGATGGTAATGTAATTGGACAGTGGTTTATGAGGTGGGTCAGAGATAGTTCACCATACCACTGCAAGGGGTCACAAGCAATAACCTCACACAAGAAAAGATCCCTGTGTTTAATATAGATAGAAACAATCTTCTTTTTGTAAATGGCATTATTTTTCCTTCTTTCTATCTAGTTGATGTCACTCTGGATCCAAAATGCACACATGCCAAACTCATCATCAAAGAGAAGAATAAAGTCAAATATAACCATTCCCCCTTAGAACAACTGAAAGATCTCAAAGGACTTCTGATTGCAGTGGCAAATGAGGGGTTTAGTAAGGGGGAGATGTACTGGGAGGTGGAGGTTGGAGACAAATGTGAGTGGGAGCTGGGAGTAATCTCTATAACTGCAAGAAAAAGGCTAGAAGAGGAGAAGCTGGAAAAGCCACTGGAGGAGGGATATATTGGTATACGATGGTTCCAGGGTAAGTTTCATTGCACTGGAGGAAATAGCCTAACTGATGGCCAGAATGAAGAATGTGAAGCTGTAGGTGTTTTTCTGGATATGAATGCGCAAGTGCTGTCATTTTATAATGTCCAGAAGATGTGCCCTATTCGGTCAATCCCTTATGAATTCTCTGAGGAAATGTATCCATTCTTCAATCCTGGGAGTGATGATAGGTTCTTGAAAGTCCGACCAATAAGCATCCCTAAATGTTTAATATCCCTGTGAAATAAAGTACTTCCCATGTTTTCTACATGTTACAGAGCCTTGCGTAAGGACTGGGTTACACCTGCTCCTTTGATTTTGATTTTTTTTTTACACCTAATTACTCATAGTTGATCTAAATTCTCCATTAGGAAGACTAACCTTTGCAGTGTTCTGCCTGTGCTGCAAGTCATCATTGTTAGATGTTGCTCCCATCAGATGATAATCATATGAACCAGCCTAAAGTGATTGATGGTGGGAACATTATCCTGGAAACAGAAACCAAAGGGCAGGTATCTGTTGTGGGTGTTACTAGATCTGGATCAGAAGAAGACAGGTTCATTCTAGAAGCAGAAAAAATGAGACAACCTTCATGCTCTTTCAGCTACAGAAAGAATCACAGACATTTGGACTAGCTTTTTTTGTATTGATTTTGACCCTAGAGAGCACATGCCACAAGTTACTAATGTGTCTTGTCTCTTCAGATGTGCAACAAGTTTGGGGTTTTTCCAGATTGTTGGATTTTGTTTTGTTTTGCAGAATATGCAAAACATCCCACAGCCTCAAAAGCACATGATACTATAAACATTTCTGAAATGCCAAATTTCATGGATAAAACTGTGATCCTTTTCGGGGGGAAAATATAATATGCACTACCAAGCACTGAACCGAGCCTTGGTGCTATATTGAGAAAATGATAGATTGGTCAGCAATTCTGTACATATCAGTAACTGGAGAAGTAGTATGAAATCTATTGTTGATAGTAATCATTAAAATAAAATATTTTGTATATTGTTATTTTTTAATATATATATAATATGGATATGTGATTTTTTCTTGGTATATTAATAATAGAAAAATAAATAAATTTGAAAGAAGATTTATGAAATATGAAATTACTCTGTTATATCACAGACTCCAATCCTCAGTCTCATGGTCTTCAACTGTAAACAGCAGAGAAGGACTACTTGTTTCAGTTATGTCACTACCTTTTCCAACAAAATATATGTACTAATATATTGGTTATATCTTTGTAGCTTTTTCATCAGGTGCTGGAATTTTTATATGGTCAGTTACATAAATATGGTCAGTTACAAAAATGAGACAATTGTCAGTGGGTTTAGAATCTGGAATTTATGAACTGCAGGCATATGGTGTAACGTCTGGGATGCGCAACAATATTCCTCATTGAAGAAGCTATTTGATAGTTTATTCTGATCACAATATTTTTATTTGGATTAGTAATCCTATTACTGGAAATTAAAGAAAAATGACTAGGGACATAACTACTTATTACTAAAAAGAATTGAGACTTTCACCAAACGTGACAGCCCTGTGTCAACTCATTCTCATGCTCTGGAACGTATAGCACAACTTATCCTATATCCTGTTGCCATTGGCTCTCTCCATGAGTCACTTTAGGGTGAGGACCTTTCCAGCGCCACCAGCCAAGTTTGACAAAGTGGGGCCACCTACTTGTCTATCATCTGACATCTTGTGACAGTTTTTCCTTTGCATTGTTGTTGTTGTTGACAACATGCCTTTTTTCCTAATGGAATTAAAGGTGGCTTGCAGATAAAACAAGAATCACTAAAAGCATAGAAAAACAATAATTAAAAACAATTAAACACTGATAGAATTAAAATGATACATGTCTATAAAATCTGTTTAAAACATACAAATAATTTCAATAAAAACATCACGACATCAGCCGTTTCATTAAAAGCAGTCAGTTTCCTAAAGCCTGTTGGAATAAGAAGGTCTTCAGCTGCTGGCAGAAGGACAAGGAGAGAGCCAGTCTAGCTCCTCCAGGGAGGGAGTTCTTGAGTCTGGGAGCAGCCACCAAGAAGGCCCTCTACAGCATGCCAGTGAGAGTGGCAGGACCAAGGGTGCCCACTTTTATAAAATATTGGAGGGAAAGATAAGTCCTGCCCAGCATAATCAATCACAAGACACAGTATGCATACACCATTTGGATGGCAATGCCCCTCACCTCAACGGGGGGGAGGCCCCCTCAAATATTTTAGGAGGGACAAAGGGATCTTGACCTCTAGGAGTTGGCTCCTATGGACAGGACCATAGGAGCTGCACCCCGTCTCAATCAGGAGCTGCCCCCTCTCTCTTGGCTCTCAGCTTCCTCCCTTGGGGCTCACCATTTCCCCCTACCCCGCACCATCCCGCTGACATCTCCACTGTGGCCATCACACCTGCCACCGCTTTGAAACCTACAACAACTCGACTTTCCAGCCAACATACTTCCAACGCTGCATTTCCGGAAGCCAGTACCTCATTCTGAAGGAGAAAGACAAGTGGTTCTGTCTTTTGGTCCCATGGTCTGTTGTGAACCAACTGACTCATGCCACGGTGTAGGAGCAAAACATATGTGTCTTTTGTCACTTAAGACAGGATAGTTGCATGGTATGCACTCTGCTTAAGGATAGTGTGTTTAGAGTAAGGTTACCAGATGTTTTTCAATGAATCCAGAGACACTTTTCAATTTCAGTGGATTTTGTATGGGGACTGATTTGTAAATCAGGGGACTGTCCCCGGGAAACAGGGATGTCTGGTAACTTTAGTTTAGAGCCCTATTGGTGAACACAGGATCTGAGACTCTTGACTAAGATGCCAATGAGGTATACAGTGGTACTTCTGGTTACGAACTTAATTCTTAACCTGAAACCGGTCTTAACCATATCTTTTAGCTGTAAAATTACCAGGGCAGAAAGGGTGTGTAACAGTTAATTATTGAAAGGGAGCAAAGGTTGGCTATGCAGACAGTTGAGAATTATACTTCCTTGTTTGCTCTCCTCCTCTGAATTCTGTGGTGACACACCCATCTGAGGCACAGTCGTAACCATTTTATTCTGATTCAGTTAAGGGAGGATTAGTTAGAAATCTAGTCTCTTCAGTATTTGTCAATGACAACTCATCAGTTTCAGATATATTACTATACCTTTTGCCTTTTCGCTTCATGTAGTAAAAAGAAGATATTGACAAAGACATGGAAGGTGACTTGTTGCTGATTGGCTCTTGTGGTAGAAAGAGGGCCAATCCTTTCTACTCCAGCCACCTATTCATATAGAGCTAAGCCCACCATTATTCAAATTTGATGCTACTGGATACCACCTGATCAGTATTACAGGTTGTTGCTGTTTAAATGCAATGAATGAAAAAGTCTAAAGGTATGGTTTGGAAGAAGCCATATGGATATGGATCAGAGGACTGGATTATTGGCTCATATTTCAATTCATTTGCAAAATATATTGTCCAGTTCTGAGAATTAACTGTAAGTATGAGAAGGCTTCAGGTATGGCAAACTGGTTTTTTATAAAAAAAAATTCCTTCCAGTAGCACCTTAAAGACCAACTAAGTTAGTTCTTGGTATGAGCTTTCGTGTGCATGCACACTTCTTCAGATACACTGAAGGTTTTTTATGTAATTTTTTATTATGAAAGATGAACCTGGTCTGTCTCTACTTTTAGAGTTGTTCACCAATTACGCTTGGCAGGGTGATATTTAATGTTTTAATAAAGGTAGGAGCAAAGGTGTGTTTGTGTGTGAGGGAGAGAGGGAGAGAGAGAGGGGGGAGGGAGGAGGGGAGGGAGGGAGGGAGAAGGAGACCCACAGCACGCTTTGAAAAGCTGTGAATATATTTACGAAGAAGAATTACACCTTTACAAAGGTGAATTAAACTATTATCTCCTTTATTGGCTATACAAATCTACTGGTACACTTGACAAAAACTTCTCTGCTCTTTTTTCAAGTAATTTGATGAATATACATGCAAGTAATATTTTTAGTCATTTGGAATTACACACTCTGTCAGATATGTTAAATCTCTCAGAGTGATTTTATCATGGAAAATTCCCAAATGATATGAAATAGATTTAGATTTAGATTTAGATTTAGATTTAGATTTAGATTTAAGCCATCTGTTCCCACTGCATGGCTGTTGCTTACCTAGCTGTTGCTGCTCTGCTGCTGCATTGAGAGAAGCAACTAGCTGAATAGACCCACCTCACTCACCCGCCATCTGACTCCAACATCAGATGAGGGCCATATCCAATAAAGAGAGATCAACTGTCTGTTGGCACTGGGTGAACATGGGGTCCAGTGTCCAGCTCTTTTCTTCTCTGCTCCCCCCCCCCAACGCTACCTGGGGTTAATTCTTCTCTTCCTGACTTGGGACCTCTGTGGTCTCCGTCGCTCCCTTTTTAATCCTGTTGGAGTCTGCTTAGCTGATCCCGGCAGCCAGACCTCTCCTGGGGGAGAAACATGAAGAAGGGCCTCAGATCATGATTGCAGGGTCCAGGTTGATTCCTATAGGGAGAGGCAGCCTTATGCATAGGATTGTGCAGTTGGCTGATGATGGAGATGCAGTTGATGCTGACGATAAACAGCATCTTAATTCTTAAAATTATTCTGTTCACAGACGATAATAGGTTTGTGTTGAGTAGTCAGGACACATTGCAAAGTCATGCATTGTTTAACCAACTTTCCTCCCCTCCTTTTATGCTGCCAGAGATCTGGATGGCTGTCAGGGATTTCTCACCACAATGGAGAGACTAGTGAAGCCGATCTTTGTGGTTGGTGTCGCTATGATCAGTTTTGTTGGAATATGGAGGAAGGGTAAGAAGCAATTTGCTCTCCCCAGAAACACTGCTTGATTTGTCATTATAGTTCTTATATAAAGCATTCCACAAAATTGTTTCCCCATAATAATGCAATTCTGACCTACCAGGACTTCGGGGGTGATGGGGGATGGGGATGGGGATGACACCATTTTATTATGCTGGTATTGAGATCACATAGACCTCAAACTAATTCCATCAGTCAAAGTTGCTGTTTTTATTTCCTTACAGCTGTTTATATTAAAGGAACTGTCAGCCCTGAAATTGTCCAAGTTGGACAAGATGTGATATTGCGCTGCCAAGTAGGAGGCTGCACATCCTCCAGGCAACAAGTCCACTTATATAAGTGGGAAGGCTCCAAAAATCAAACCTTGTATATCCACAATAGCACAGAGCAGCAGTACAGCGTTCAAGAAAGTGTTCAAGAGAGCAACACTCACAAAGGATACTATGAGAATGGATTCCTTGAAGTGACTCTCCTCCAGGTGCAGCTAGCAAACGGTGGGCAGTATGTGTGCTCCATGATGTGTGATGATGTCTATAAAGAAGATATTGTGGAGGTGACAGTAGAAGGTAACTACAAAGGCTTAGATGCTATCGCCCTAATCCATGACTTGTGGAGACCTGGTTTATATTACTGAGACTAGGTAGACGTCTCAGAAGGGACTTGAGAGTTGGGGGGGGGGGAGTTCTAGAAAAATTCTCTCTCTCTCTCCAAACTTTCTGTCCACTTGGTTGGGAACCTAGATTGTTTGTCCCTGGCATTGGGTAATTGGTACAGATTAGGAATTCTGCAGGTTTACGTAGCTAAGTGCCTAGCAGTCTACATACCTGAGCTGGCAAGGTTAGTCTCAAAGGCTCTGCTGAGTAGTCCCAGACTATTGGTTCTGGGAGACTTCAGCATCCTTGCCAAGGCCATTAACTCTGGGTTGGCTCAGGACCATGGCTGCTGTGACAACCAAGGGGTAGTCCCAACCTGTCATTGGCCCAACACATGGGGCAAGCCACAATCTCTGGATCTGGTTTCCTGGACTGAGCAGGAAGAGGGATATATGGAAGTGGGAGATATGAACACAGTCGCTTGTCATGGCTGGATCACTTCTGGTCAAGATTTAGGCTTCCAGCACCCTTTTCCCCTTCTGCAGAGGCAGGGGACCTGTTACGAAGGTCCACCCTTGAAGACTGCTGGATCTAAATGGCTTGCAGATGGTTCTGAGGGATTTTGCAGCTGATATGACTGGCACACCCTGGGTGATTTGCTACATATGGGAATTGCTCGTGCCATTAATACAATCGCCTCTGACCACCCTCTTCTGCTTCACATTATTATTATTTTATGGCCCTTCACTCTAAGATCCCAGGGTGGGTTACACAATTATGGCACCATGTTACAAATAGTTTATAATAACTTACTATCCGAGAAATATGATGGGTTCTAAAAATATACATTTCAAGTGTCAAAAGAGGTACATCTTCAGCATTCACCAGAAGCTGTGTAATGAAGATGCTAGATACATCTCTGTGGGGAGGGAACTCCACAACTTAGGGACTCCCACAAATTATGCCATCTCCTGAAGGTCTGGTGGTGGTTAAACAACCAATGCTACTTTATACACCATTCGTAGCACCAGAGAGTGTCTATAGGGAAGGAGACCTAAGTTAGGTACTATAGGTTACTAAGTTAGGACCTATAGGCCTTTGAGACCTAAGTTAGGTAAGGTTTGAAACACTAAGGTGAATACCTTGAACTGGACCCAGAAACAAACAGCAAATTTTCCAAGTTAAATTTTAAAATTTTACCGAATGTTGTGTTTATGGGAAATGATAGCTTCAGCTTTATACATCTCTATTTTCCACTCATTTCCTAGTATAGCTGTGCTATCACAAGTATGAACTACTGTGTGAGTGTATGTAAAGTATGAGTTATTAACATAAATGAATGTTTTCCAGGTTTAATTAGTGTTGCTGTTGGGGATGTTGCCATTCTTCCATGCCAGATGATTGAGACCTATTATCCCTCTCATCTGGAACTGCAGTGGAGAAGAAGCAGCCCTGGGAAGAGCAGGACCATCTATTCTTACCAGCTTTATTGGGATACCTGCCCATCGGTTTGTTATGGAGACAAATTTAATGCTAGGTGCCCTTATTCAAATGGACCCAAGAGCCAAGTATGGCTTAGGAAGAAGTACAAACTAAACACAGAGGTGTTGAAACACAATAATCTTGGGGTTGGAAATATTTCCCTGAAACTAAATAACATTCAGAAAGAAGATGCAGGGAGATACGAATGTTCAGTGAACTCTAACTTGCAGCGCAAAGTGGTAATCTACAAGCTTGATGTGAGAGGTAAATAATACCAATGTCAAAAATAAAGAAAGAAGCAAGGAAAAGGGTTTGGTAATAACACCTTTTTCCTGCTTTGCTTGCAGGAGAAGTAACTGGGATCACATGAAAAGTAACTGGGGTCTTTGCAGGCAATTTTAAAGCTTTGCTTTTGGTTATAGTCAAGATTAAATGGCAAAGCACTATTTTAAGAGTATTTACTGTGGGTTGTATGTTATAACTGATAATTCCAAAATTGTGTGTGCTTGTGAAAAATGATCACACCAGTGTGACTATGAACATCCTCCAGTTTTGCATCAATAGTATACTGGTCAATATTTGCATCTGCCATAAATAGTCCTATTCTTGAATTGTGCAATCCTGTGTCAGTCTACTTAAAAGCAACCATTGACTTCAATGAGACTTACTTCCAAGTAGATGTGGATAGGGTTACAGCTTGAACTTACAATCCTACAATGATTAATCCAATGTGTGTCCATTGATTTTAACTGAACTTGTTCTAGACTCAAGTGGCAATTTTACACACACCTGAGAATCAGTTCCATTTAAATCAAGAGACTTTGCTGGAAGTATGCATTTATTCAGTCATTTATTTGCTAAGAGGTGCGGGGTAAATGAAGTCCAATAATATTTCTTATTATCTTTTCAGCCTTTGTAGGTGTTTTAGTTGTCGGCAATGTAAATCCTAAAATTGGCAGAATTGGACAAGGTGTGATATTACATTGCCAAGTAAGAGGATGCAAATCTTCCAGAGTGCAAGTGCAATTATATAAGTGGGAAGGCTCAAAAAATCACACATTGTACACCCACAACAGCACAAACCAGCACAGGGCTGAAGAAAAAAGCACAGGAGAGAGTGATGAGAATGGCATTCACAAAGGATACTATAAGAATGGGCTCCTTGAAGTGACTCTTCTTAATGTGCAACTAGCAGACAGTGGCCAGTATGTTTGTGCCACAACATGTGATGATGTCTACAAAGAAGATATTGTGGAGGTGACAATAGAAGGTAATTATGAAGGCTTAGATGGTAAGAACTTCCATAATTCTTCTCTTCTGCTCAGCACAAACTGTAACCCACTGATTTCCTAAAATGTGCATTTGATAAAGTTTCCCTCCTAAATGCATTTGGGGTTGCAGTAAACACTTCTTCCTTTTTAGGACTGGGAGTTTTATTTTTTTTAAAAAAATTGTTTATTTATTTAAAAATTACATCCTGCTTTTCACTATCTGAGGTTTCCAAGCAGTTCACAGCAATAAAATGTACACTACAGAAAATTCAAAACCTAAATGAAACCTCCAAAATTTAAAACCTCAAGTATCTCAAATCTTAACAACTTAAGTTTCTTTCTTTCCTCTTTCTGTGCCTGTTAGTGGTGCTATTCCAGTTTTGTTGGTGGTTTTCTACCGCAATCATGTCCTGGTGTGGCCATGAGTCTGTAGAGGACCTCATTTTTCTGTGAGGGCTTCAGGAGATGTTTCCAAAGGGGTAATGACAGAAAAAGAGGTTCTGGACTCACCATGAACGCTTTCCTTGTTCTCTTATGATGGCAATGGAGCCCACCTGAGAGGTGCCGGAAACTTTCAATCCATGACTTGATTTTTAAAAGTGGAAAACTGAAGAAAAAAAATATAACTTCTTCTCAGACCACCTTGTATGACTTCTGTGGCACCCAATGGAACATCTGCCCTGCTCCTGAATATGTATAATGTTTTTGAATGTGGCCAAAGGGAAATGGAGGGGCCAAAGCTTCATGTAAGTTCTAGAAGGAAGAAACCAAGACACATTCCAAGATAAACTCCGAGCTTCTATGAGCCTCTGAAAACCCTGCTTCTGGTGAGGCAATGGAGGGAAATTTAATTAAGCCTGCTTTTGTCTTTTAGAAGTGCCTGTCCAAAGTGCTGAAGTCTGGATGTTCTGTGGCTTTGCTTTCCTAGGTAAGTTTCCTTACATGAATGGAGTAGGTATGAAATTCATTAAAATGCAGTGTTATGCACTGTGACATATTTATTTATTAAGATATGTTTTGAGCCAGATAATTAAAAATAAGAGGTGATGCTTTCCTTTCATTGTGTCAGCCGGTCTTCAAATCTATTTATTGCATTAAGTAAGAAATAGGTTTTCCACCTTTCTATTTGACAGAACAAGCCCACAGAGCTATGACTATCTCCCATCTTCGACCCTTTCTGTTACTGCTGTGAGGGATCAAAAAATAAGTGTAAGGATGGAGGAGGAATCCATTTTTAATGGATTTAAACACAGTATTTGGGGCTTCTGACCTCTTCAGGCTTTGCCCTTATTGGAAGGTCTCTTGCATCATGTGCCTGTTTATGCTGCTTGAGCATTGTCCTTTTTCAAAGCTAGATTAGTTATCAGGGCTGCATGCGTGCGTGTACACACACACACACACACACACACCCCAATCCAGGGCCTCTGGAAGTAGGTGAAATGCTGCTTCAGGGTAGGGCTTTGGGAAGAAGAAGTAGTGGCCAGGCAGGATTGATAAGTAGGGACTGAAAGCCTGCACCCCAAATCAAAAGGCATCCACTATCACTGCCCCACCTTCTGCCTGGAAATTGGGAAGTTGCTTCTAGTCAGGTAGGTTCCCCCTACTGCCTTTTCATTGCCTCCCTTTCCCACCCAATGCCTGTCTTTCCTTTCTGCCTGTTGGGTTACCCCCTGACATCCCTGGATCCCTCAGGGCCACCCAACCCAACTTGAGCAACACTTGGATTCCACTGAAACTGACCCAATTCAGTTCCAAACATGGCTGATTGCAGTGCACAACCCTATTAATGCACAGTTTAAAATACATATCAAAGAGTCTAGCCCAGGGGTCAGCAAACATTTTCAGCAGGGGGCGTTCCACTGTCCCTCAGACCTTGTGGGGGGCCGGGCTATATTTTGTGGAAAAAATGCCCCACAGATAAGCCAGAGATGCATTTTATATAAAAGCATGCATTCTACTCATGTAAAAACACCAGTCAGGCCCCACAAATAACCCAGAGATGGATTTTAAATAAAAGGGCACATTCTACTTATGTAAAAGCACGCTGATTCCCGGAGTGTTCGCGGGTTGGATTTAGAAGGCGATTGGGCCGGATCCGGCCCCCGGGCCTTAGTTTGCCTACCCATGGTTTAGCCACACACATGCTTTTATAATTATTAGTGCATAAATGTTTTTATACAGTTATATGAATTGTTGTATGTACCTGTTTCTGAGCTGGTCATTTTATCATATGTGCATATGCATATGATAATGCATATTGTCATAATGTTTTGCATTTTTATTAGTACTGTTAAGGAAAACCCAAGAAACAGGGCAAAGATCTATGTGAATAAGCTCAAAGTAATTCCATCCCTATTTAAGTGTTCTTTGTCTTGTAAATAGCACTTTTTAAAAATAAAAAGAATAATCTTCTCATTTATTCTCAGCTTTCCTCTTCATAGTAAGTTGGCATTTTTATAGAAAGCTAGGTGAGTTAATGTTCTCATTTGTTCAAGTGTCTGTGGGGTTTTTTTAACTTCTTAAACATACTTGCAGTGTTTTTGCCCTACCTTCAATTATGAACTAATATCAGAGACAAGGCCTAATCCTTTCTTAATTGTAGCCACTACAATTCTAGGACACAGAAAACTATGGAGTGATTTTCTTCCAAGAGGCAGGAGATGCATTTTGTAACAGTGAACAGTGCTTGAAACTGGTATGGGAAGTTGCTTTCCTTCAGATATTTGAAACCCAAGTTGTTTAGGGCTTTAAGCATCAGTCTTTCAACTGAGCTCAGAAATGAATAGTCAGCCAACAGTTATTTCAAGATTAAAGGAATGTGACTCCATATGGCTGAACCAATGTGAGGATAAGTTTATACTGGCAACAAATTGGCATTAGCCACCTTAGTGTTGGTGTCATACTTGGTTTTTCGGTCAAAGGTGTATCAACGAGGTTCAGGCCGATTTGGATTCAGCTGGTCAAACACAGAAAATGCTCAAGGAAAACAACAATAACCGGTTCAAATAGCACCTATACTTGAAATTATCACCCCATAACCAGAAGAGGAGGGTATTAGAAAGCTTGTATACTTGTAAAGACTCTTACAAGAAGGGATGTTTATTACGACACCTTTGGAAATTGTGGCACATGGTATCACTCAGGATGGGAGCAGGGCAATGTGGTGAAGAAGAAGAGGGAAGCACTGGGTTATAGTGGGTGGCCAATGATACAGTAGTTAACACTGAGACAGGCCCTCCTTGCAGACTTCAATTGCAAGACAAGATGTGTAGAAAGGAAAGACAAACATAATCCATGATTTAATGCAGCCATTTTATTTTTGAAAACAAACTGTTTATTCTAATAAAATCACTGCATTTGTGTGCATGTGGTTTGCAGAAACAATTGCTCCCAATCAAAGTAAAGTGTAACATTTGTTTCTATGTTTCTCTCGGTGAAATAAATACATAGCAAACTCCAATGGCTGGATCTGCATGTCACAGTAAGCCACAGTTAATGGTTTACTCGTTAGCAAACAGATCACTCCTACTTTGCTCCTCCCACCACCATTAATGAGGGGGAACCATGGTTCTCTCTTGTCTTGATGTTTTGCCCAAACCAGGCATCATGGTTTGATTCACTCAAACAAACCACAATCAAAAAGCTAAGAATAAACCTTGACTTCCATCAGGAAATGCTACAGAGGAAAAATGATTAAATATTCCCTTCCCTGCTGTGATTCCTCAAATCAAAACTTCAATCTCTTGCAGTTGCTGTGAAGTTTTGTAAGAAGTGAGATAACTGAATCATGGTTTCCCTCTATTACTTCTTCTTGGGCTCTGACTGTGCTGGGATGTATGGTTTATTATTTCAAAATATCTACCTCACATGAAACCTTTGATTTTCTTTGCAGAAGAATTAAAGAAAGGCAATGGTAAGTCTTGTAATAGATTCCACCTTTTAAACCATCAGTTGGTAGTGAAAGAAACATATCACAAATCTCATGCTGTTCTTGCTGATAAAATTTTCATTTTAAAATTCATATGAAAAGCAAATATATCTTACCTTGCAGAACAGTTAAAGACAGAAAATGGTAAGTAGCAAAAACTTTTCAAACAAAATATTGTTGCACCTCACCCCAATCTTGGAGCTGTGAGAGATTCCAGGGGTTCCAGGCACTTACCCAGGGTTTGGTTTCCTTGGAATGAGTGAGTGCAGAAACTGTGGTGTCTTTATGATATATGGTATACAACCTGAGCCTACGATGGAGGGGCTCATAGCATTAACATCCCAGAATGTTTTGCTTCTCCCATGCTTCTCCCACAGCTTTGGATTCAAACAGAAATCAGCCATGGCTCTGATTCTCTGGCTTCTTCCTGCTTCTAGCCCAACTCTCTCACACAACTCAACTCCTGCTCTTGTCTGCTATTGTCCTTCTCTCACTACCAACCAAGTGTGGGAGACGGCCCACCCATTTCCCCTTTGGCACAGAGCAACTTCCCTTCTTATGCTATCAATCTATTCTTATAGGCAATTATGGTCCTTGTCTGGCTAATTCAACAATGGGATCCTTCATTAGATTTTAACATTTGCTGGAACCAGGAATTAGAAGGGGCTCGAGCATCATACAGCCCAACCCCACCACCAACCTCACAACAATATTACTTGGGTATCCTAGAAGGATCTCTCTCTCTCTCTCTCTCTCTCTCTCTCTCTCTGTTGTGTGTGTGTGTGTGTGTGTGTGTAAGGAAATATGTATTGCAAATTAGATGTACAGATGCCATAACATGATTTTTTAAATTTGTTGTTAAGATAAAACCATATATGTTCTCTTTCTAGAAAAACTAAAGGGAGAAATGAAGGCAAAAACAGGTAAGTGAATCTCTCCTTTCTTAGTTTGGAACTTATTCTTCAAGTAAAACTAAGTTTTATTCAGAGTAATTGCCTAGCATAGTCGTGATCATTCTTTTCAAAGTGTCTGCTCTGAGGAAAACTTAGTTAAATACCTCCCATTATTTTTCCACTTCTAAAGAAGGTAACTTCTAAATCACACATTGCCAAAATAGCCTTGTCAGTAAGTATGTGGCCAAATTAATGCTTCTCATGCTATAGCCCTTTAAGAAATTACCCACCCCCAATCGGGAGGGGGGGGACTATTCAGAAAGGAAGCTTCTTCCTTGAACATTAATGAAAGCTTTCGTCCGGCAGCTTCAGTGTGGGGAGGATTATTGTCATCGGGGTGCAATATGGAGAGAAATGAGTTAAAGCTCTGCTTCATGCATCACAGTTCTGGTTCCTTCCATCACAACTACTATTTAAAGAACAGATCAGGCATATTCAATACTTACACACATTTCACATAGCATTTAAGACATACTCAGAAGTTCCCCTCACACCTTAACTGGATTAATGATTCTCATTGTAAATTCAAATACGTTTTGATTCTTACAACCCAGAGGACTGACAGTCCATTAAAAGGCTTTGAGAGTGGAGGTGCTATGCAATGCTACCAAAATTGCCAGTTAATGCAAGATAATATACAGGATATGCAAACCCTTATTGCCTGAACTAATAGCTTACCTATCTAGCTGATTTGTATAATAGAGATCAAGTCAGAGCCCCCAAAGTTTAATGGTTCCTGTATAATATGTGGCAATGTAGTTCAACACATCTAGCAGGGCTGCACTGGAAACCTAGATGCACAAGGGGAAATTTGGATGCAAATGACGGTTGAGACAGCACAAGAATAGAAAGAATGAGATTCAGAAAATTTTGCCTCCCCTGGCTCCATGTGACAAGGCAGTGTGCAGTCCATGGGTACCATATCAAAGTACGCTTGTGACACTTGGTATGAAAAGTTGGACCGCCTGGCACTAGATGGCCCACCATTTTTGGTGGCATTATTTGAGCATAAATCTTTTTTTTCCCATTTCAAGATAACAGAATGAGAAATCTCATTGTCTTTCAGCTTTCAACCAGTGAATCAATCAACTTATTATTCACTTATTCTATGTTTCTCATTATGTCAAACAAACACATTTCAAACTCCTGATTTATTGGGAAGCATGTTTTTAGTTTTAAACTTGTACTTCATCTGAGAATTTTTTTTTTCATTTGCAGAACAATATGAAGCAGGAAAGGAACAATTGGAGATGGTTAAAGGTGAGTCTTATGTAATGTTTTGCACATTTGTGAACAAAATATATTCTTTAGGAGGCACGGGGATTGAAAAGGTTATCCTTTTTATTTTTAAAAGTGCAGTTTACAAGAACCATAGAAACATAAATGTCTCACCCTCTTCCTCTTAATTGTTTCCTTTGCCATACTGCAATGCAGTGTGTGTGTAACCTTACCATGCCAACAATTATTATGTGGACATTTGCATCTTCACTGCTAGATTTTCTAAAAAATCAGCTATGGTTGTCATCCTTCCTCACGTAATGCTTTTGTTCGTTTCTTTACATACAGAAATATTAGCTGCCCACTTACACAAAGGTGAGAATAACAAATACTTTTAAAAATTCACATGGTTTGATAAATGAAAAATAGGGGGGGTTTTTAAGCAACACAAAATAAAAACCAATGCACTGGTGGTAATCTGCAATTCTAATTTGTTACATAGAGGTTTTCCAGATGATTCTTTAAAGGGAAGAGGGATAAGCGGTGATGAGAGAGGAGTAAAATTTGGCATTGCAATGAAGGCGGAGTGAAGCTCAGCATGGGGAAAATATCTTCACTCTCCTCCTTGTGTCTGATGCTGATCTTCATTCCCCATTTCTTTATCATGCTGATCTTCACCCCCTTCCAATTTTGATATTCGCCAAAGAGTTTATGTTGTCCTTCAGTTCTTCTGAAGGGTTGGGGACAAAGGTACACAATGCCTGGGCCTGCAAGTATGCTGAGGATTGCAGCAGAATTACACTGGTGCATACATGGGTTGAATTGCTTTTTGAAACAAGCTTTGTTAATTCTCTTGAATAGAAATTTGTATTTTCACAATGCCATGTATGTCACAATGGCATGTAGCAGCAGATGTGTATGTAACCCACAAAGGGATGCTGGTGTCCTCAAAGAGTCACATAAAGCAACCCTCCAGTCTGTGCATTTTGAGTTCAGCCCTTTACTTTCCTTTGCAGCTGATGTGGTCTTGGACCCCAGGACAGCTCACCCAAAGCTAAAAGTGTCTGAAGATGGCCAAAGTGTTTGGAACACAGGAACTGTTTCTCAGGTTTCTGACTGGGAGAAGCGATTTGACTCCCGCACATTCATTCTGGCAAAATGTGGATTTTCAGAAGGCAAACATTACTGGGAGGTGGAGATTGATCAGAAGAAAACCTGGGACTTGGGAGTTGCCTCTGCAACCGCTTCTAGAAAGGGGGAGATCACCCTGTCTCCTGAGAATGGCTACTGGGTCATAGGATGTGATGATGGGAAAGATTATTGGGCTCGGACAGAGCAATGGACCCGCCTGAAAGTGAACGGAAAGCTTACAAAATTAGGAATATTTCTAGATAAATCAGCTGGAAGCTTATCTTTTTATGATGTCTGCAGACATAGGAAATTGCACACTTATAAAACACTTGGTGTTGGGGACCTTTATCCCTTCTTCTATATAGGCTCTGTAACTAATCAGCCATTGAAAATTGTATAATATTTGAAAGAAAATGAGATTGTGGGGGGGAATGAAAACAAATTCCACAGATAGCTGAGAATTAATTAGCACAGGTCTTTAGTTTAACCATGATTTTTTCTTTCTTTCTCATATTGGTGTCAGAGAATAAAAGACTCGGAATAGAAGTAATGTTACAAGTGACTGCGCTGTGTACAGTCTCCTTCCCCAACCAATTTTGTGGCTCTAATCCAGAGCCCCGAATTAAAGCAACCTTTCCTTAGCCAGACCAGAAAACCCATCCCCAATTAGTTTGGGAGGGGTTAATTTTTAATCAGGGTAAAAAAAAACACCTAAATAAATACAGAGCTGGGAGGATGACAGGTGAGGGAAACATTACATCTGAGAACTGGGGTTCAATTTTGCATCTTTATTAAGTGTCTTCTCTGATTGCAAATCAGCATTGCTGCCTTCTCTCAAAAGTTGTCAAGCAAGGGGAGCAATCCTGCAGGGCAAGTCTTCAGGAAAGAAGGACAGTTAGGTTACATTGGGCAAGAAAGAGATTCAAGGTGGCATCTTCCTTTCTCTGGTATGGTGCAGACAGTGGGCAGATAGACCTTTGCCTTTTGTGGAGTTTTCCTAAATGATGCCTGCTCGTCTTCCAGCTTAATGCCTTGCCCCCAGACAGCCCTGGATCACTCTGGGCCATCTAACCTGACCCACAGCGTTTGGCAGCTAAGTTAACCCATGCTGTTCTTGCTGATAAAATTTTCTTTTTAAGATTAATATGAAAAGCAAATATATCTTTTATGTCTTTGACACCTGAATTTTTCTAAACAGGCCTGATTTGTCTCAGGACTTTGTACACAGCTCCAACAAATGAGACAAATGTGTATTGATCTTTGTCTTTACCAAAGTGTTCAAGTCTCATCTATTTTCTCAGGCTTTTAACTCTTGATCTGGTTTTTGTTGTTGATTAATTATTTCTAAGTCACTCTGATAACCCGATTAAGGAGTTGGTTATATATTTTCAAAATGAATAAATAGATTGAATATTCAATATATGTTTTCATTGTTTTCTTTAGAATATTGTATAGCTAATTTTGACATATATCAGTATTAAAAACTGTAGTATAAAAAATCCTCATATGAACCCAATCAGAGCAATCCAAATAGGGATATTTCTAAATATGTTGTCCAGAAGTCTGTCTTTGCATGATGTCCACAGAGGTGGACTGGATGATGGCCAATAAACTGGGCTTGAATCCTGGGAAGGCAGAGGTTCTTTGATTGGATCACTCCCACATTTGGGAAATTGGCAAGTTTCATGTTCTGGATGGGCTTGCACTCCCTCTGTACTCCTGGATGCACCTTTGTCACTAGATGCCTAAGTGTCCTCTGTGACTAGGACTGCCTTTTACCAGCTCTGTGTGGTTTACCAGCTACAGCTGTTCCAGGGATAGCCTGATGACTAGAGTACATGTGTTGGTAACTTCAAGGCTGCATTACTGTAATGCTTTCTATGTTGGGCAGCCCTTGAGTCTGGTTTGGAAGCTCAAGCTAGTGCTGATGAAACATGACAACATTGTTATTATTTTTTTAAAATGATATTTATTAAAGGTTTAACAATTACAGAAAAAAGAAAAAAGACAATAATAAATTACAATGCTTCAAAAATAAAAAACATGGTAAAACAGAAAAAAGAAAAAACACAATACAACAAAACAATAATAAAAGCAAAAACATTTAAAAAACAAAAACATTTAAAAACGTATCCAGTATTTCCATATCTTTATCTTTCATTTACTTGTTTCATCGACCTCCTCACACCTCCCTTTTTTGTATTCTAATTTAAATAGCTATTTCAGCAAATCCTTTCCATCTTTCTCAATTTTTATTCTATAATTTATCTTAACCCAATTTAGCCTTAAATTCTACACTTTGACCCATTAACAATCCATTTTTACTTAGTTCTTTCACGACAACATTGTCAAAACAGCTACACTAGATTTCTGCTTACTCCCAAGCCAAGTTCAAGGTTCTTGTATCAATCTACAAAGCCTTGAACAACTTATGTCCAGGGTACCTGAGGGATGACCTGAACCCTTATAGCCCAGCTTGTTCACTGAGATTTTCTGCAGGAGTGCTATTTGTCATTCCCAAGTTGATGGGGGTTCATTTACAACAAGAAGTAAACAAGACTTTTAGTCATTGGCCCAGTCCTGTAGAACACTCTGCCAATACAGATTTTATGAAAAATACAGAGAAGAAGGTACCTTTTCCTGGATTTAGAAGAAATCATGATTGTGATTAATTAGCACATTTTTAAAATGATCATCCAGCCTTAATAACAAACTGAACTAGGGACCACTAGAGCTTCATGGTAACATGTATCACAGTCACACATGCATCACAGTCATTAATCACAGTCATTTTGATAATTACAAAGCAAGCCAGTAATTTCCTAGTTATGGACTCACTGTAGCACTACTGAAGAAAACATGTTTGTCACATCTCAAGTCTCCTTATCCTCATCCTGTTGGCCCAGCTAAGTGTGTGTGGCAGTGGAATGACAAATGCAAGAGAAGACCATTGGAAATTTGATAGTTTTGTCGGGAGTCAGATCAACAGTTATTACAGGGTTAGCATTATAGACACCAAGGAACTCTGCACCAGCCATCTCCAATAACTCCATCTCACCCAAATCTTGGTAAAGGGAAACACTGCTGATTTGCAGATCCTACAGTGGTTGTTGGAGAACCTAAGACACAGTAGGATCTGCAAATCCTACAGTGCCCAGCTTAAAAGTATTGGTCTGAACTGTCACTATCCCTAACTCTGGAGCAAACCGTATATTGTATTTCCTCTCCTCTGTATTGCTGCTGACATCTATTAAATTATAATCAGATATCTACAATTAGAATTAAATACAAATAGTTATAATTGGTGGCAACTGATAACATTTTGAGTTGCCAGGCCTGCAATATTTAACCTTCTTGTTTTCACCACAGTAGAGCTTCTACAGTGCTTATTTAGTGTGCATATTTCCATTGAAATAAATAAATAAATAAATAAATGTGTGCACATATTTGGACAAGGGAAGACTGTCCATGTAAGTGGGCCCAAGTATGATTTTCAGACAAGAGTAATTCCATATATAAAGCTTATCACAAGACATTTTTTTTGAATTTGCGTATCCCTTGTCAACAAGCTAAGCACACCAATGTTTTAAAATGTGTGTGGAACACTTGCTTCCAGTTGCATGCAGTTCTCCTCTCTACCAAAATCAATTTCCAAAACACTTTCTCCCTTCTAGATTAAAAGAACAAAAGTATTCCAACTAACTGATGAAAACCAATGGATTAGTGCAGCTAGCATTGGTTTAATATAAAATATATTTCTCATGAAGTATGTGTGACCCTGGTACAAGCTCCTATCTAAGACATGACCTAAGACAGATCTCAAATCCCTCACATTGTGTTCTGCTTGCTTCTGGATCAGGAATACCCCTCCCTTTTCATTTAGTGGGAGTCTGCAGCACACAACTACACCCAGTGTCTAGTTAGGGACTCTCTTTGCTCTTTAGGATTAAGGTGTCTGTACTTGCTGTATGAAGCAGCATCAATCTGCATTGCCTCTTTTCATTTTCATGTAATAAACCAATATTTCCCTACTTCCTACTGTGACAAGTTTTTTGTTTTTGTTAAAATAAAATTTCTAGTCACATATTGACTCAATACAAAAGGTACTACAGTGGTACCTCTAGTTGCAGACTTAATCCATTTTGGGGTGCCGTTCACACCGCGAAAAGTCCACAACTATAGCGCCTCTTATGTGCATGTGTGCAGCGCAATCGAGCGCTTCTGTGCGTGCGCAAAGCACGCAGATTGCTTCTGCGCGTGTGTGAAGCATGCAGTTCACTTCTGCGCATGCAGCAAACCCGTAACTAAACACTTCCAGGGATGCAGCGTTCGTAAGCTGAAAGTTCGTATCAAGAGCGGAACACAACACGAGGTATGACTGTAATCCTCTTGGACCTGTGCATTGAGTTGCTGTGTGTGGTGGGACTTCCGGGGTGACGCCATTGGTAATGGCGGATTCCCTCTGATCCGGAGGGACTGGCTCTACGGAAAACGGGCCTGTTCCGCTACGGCGAAGCGGGGACTCTTTAAAAAATCACAGGCGGATGAAGCCTGTGACCATGGGACTCGGTGGGCACCTTTCGCGCCCCCCCAATTCGTAAAGGAACCCAATTACGGGCTCTGGAGCGAAGAGGGGCAAGTGGCGCGGTGCTGAGAGTCAACTGCTTCTTCCGTGGAGCGAAGCCGCACAGCCGTTGCCGGAGAGCGCTACCTTTTTCCTGGGACAATTTTGCTATAAAAACAATTACCCATGAGTAGATTAAATTTGGACAATTGGACTTTAAACAACGACCTGTGAGTAGAAAGGAAAATTGGATTAAGAAATTCCTCTTAATTTGGCACTGAAGCGGGAAGGTCTAAACAGGAAGTCAGCCTTCCGTTTCTTGTAGATAGATTAAAGCAAAGACATGGCAAACTAGAGTTCAGAAAATCGTTTGTAAAGGATCAACTTTCATCATCTAAAATTACTGAACCCCCTTTGGAAGCAGGATAAGAGGGGGGATTTTTTCCGGCTTGTTTAAACCTGCAGAAGAGAGTGTAAAGAAAAGTAATTTTCCACCGTCTTGAACCTGGGAGCGGGGTGTCAGGACAGACGTTTTTGGGAAGTTCATTGACTATAGACAAACGTTTTTGACAGACAGTTAAAAGAAGAGAAACATAGTGATTCCATTGTTCTCCTTCGCATTTTAAAGGAACAAATATTGACAAAATATCTGAAAAAGGAAATTTTGTTGTTAGATCTGCTTTTTAAAAAGAAAGAAAAGAGATGGATACAAATATAAGTTCTTCCCCTAGAGGGAGCTTGTGAAACTGTTATTAAATTTGAACTGGGGAGCTTCGCAGCTGCAATAGATTAAGATCGTGGGAACAGACTTCTGACCTTGCATAACAATGTACTCAGAGGCTTTGGTGCGTGCTTTCTGCAAGACAAGTGCTTTATTGGAACAGTTACATGAGAAGACGGATTTGATGACTGTTGCGATTAGAAATTTTGGACAGGTAGTTGGTATCTATATAGAACCCACCCAGGAATCAACTCAGGA